GGGAATCATTCGAGGAATTCTATACGGAGAAATCACCACGTGAAAGACTCATCGACAGAAACGATCACATCCTTGTGGAATTGACACGTGAAAATCGACAAATGGACGAAATGAATCTTCAGAGACCAGGTGACGAACCAGGAGAAGTTATCGACGATTTCGAACCGGACGAAGACGAAGCAGATACCGAACAGGATGAAGCGGAAATAATCAACGACCCGCCAACACGAGGCCCTGGACGTCCACGAATACTTCGAACAGGTCAACGCGGACGACCTCGAAAAGTGTATGCTGTAAACGAAACAGATTTCGTAGATGTTGCTTGTATCGCCGAGATCCCAGTCAAAGATGCCGTCTCAGGGGAAGATTCGTCAATGTGGAAAAGCTCAATGGCTTCAGAGGTAAAATCCCTAATAAAAAATAATACGTGGGGATTAGTGAAACGCGACGAAAATCGACGAGTCATCGGAAGCAAATTTGTTTTGCGAAACAAATACAATTCCAATGGAGAGATTGTCAAGAGAAAGGCACGTGTAGTTGCACGCGGATTTGCTCAGCGACCAGGGGTAGATTTTCGAGAGACATTTGCTCCGGTTGCCAGGCTGAGTTCCATCCGCGCCGCAGCAGCAGTAGCCGTCGAAAACAACATGTTCATCAAGCAGATTGACGTTGAGACAGTCTATTTGAATGGGGAAGTCGAGGAGGAGATTTTGATGGAGGTTCCGGAACATTTCGAGAGCATCTTGGAACATATCGTCGAGACTGAACGAGACAACTCGATGAAGAAGAAAGCAGAGGAAATGTTAAAATCCATTAAGGACGACGATATGGTTTGTTTACTAAACAAGGCAATATATGGATTGCGACAAGCCGGTCGCGCTTGGTATCAACGCCTCAGCAAGGTCCTCAAGGAACTTGGAGCTTCGCCTTCAAATGCTGATCCCAGTGTCTACACTATCGGAACAAGTGACAATACGGTCTTTATTGTGATTTATGTTGATGACATTTTGTTAATATCGAAGAAATTAAACGAAATCGACAAGTTCATCGGAAAACTAAACTCGGAGTTTGAAATCAAGGATCTGGGGGAAGCCAAATTTTGTCTTGGCCTCGAATTCACCAGGAGTAAAGATAGTCTAAAAATCAGACAAAAGGGGTACATAAACGATCTCCTTGACAGGTTCGGGATGAAGGAGTGCAAACCTGTTTCGTCACCGTTGGAACCGGGAATCAAGTTATCGAAGGAGGAACCAGTGACAAAAAACTTCGAAGGTAATCTTCCATATAGGGAACTTGTGGGAGCCCTCATGTACCTGTCGGTTGGATCGAGACCGGATATTTCTCACGCGGTCAGTTACTTAAGTCAATTTAATGACTGCTACACTGAGACTCATTGGAAGGCCGCTAAAAGGGTCTTACGTTATTTAAAGGGAACTCAAGACATCGGATTGGAATATTCGCGCTCGGGAAATCCACCTCCAGCCATCTACGTCGATGCCGATTGGGGCGGATGCAACGTCGATCGAAAATCTTTTACTGGTTACACCTTCATGGTAAGTGGATCAGCGGTAAGCTGGGAGTCAAAGAAACAGCCGACCGTGGCCTTATCTTCAACCGAGGCCGAATATATGGCCTTGGCCGATTCGACCAAAGAAGCGCTGTACATGAAAAGGCTCATGAGCTCTTTTGGTGTCAATTTGGGGAAGGTCGTTCTAAAATGCGATAGTATGAGTGCTCAGAAACTTGCATCAAATCCTGTGTTTCACTCGCGAACGAAGCACATTGACATCAGACATCATTTTGTACGGGACGCTATCGAGAAAAACGAAATAGTGATAGAGTATGTACCAACCAGCGAGATGACAGCAGATGTTCTCACCAAAGCATTGACCAGGGTGAAACATGAAAATTGTGTACGACTTCTGGGTTTAAAGTGAAAAGTGTCAAAAAGTGCAGTTTGAGGGGAAGTGTTAGAATTCATATCTTATCATTTTTTGTTTTAACATCCTGCACTTAAATATAGCGGTTATTGACAGTAGCGTCACCAAACGTTCGTGTTGTAAAGTAAACTCACTATCAGATTTTGCTCTGACGCGATATGTAACTTGCTAACTAACTTGTGTAATAAATTGTTTCTTATGCTTGCCAAAATACCTCGTCATTATTCACTGTCCTCCAAAATCCAACATAATTCTATTTTGAAAATAGTAAATGAAAACAATACTAATTGAACATTAGCAATATTTATTATATTTATTCTTTTAAATTAAAGAAACATTCTTTTTGATTACATTATCAATTTTTCTAAATTTCTTACATTTGAATAAATGTTTGACATAGGAAAGATGTAATAAAAAAGTAAATAATAATAAATATAACTTAATTGGAAAAAAATAAATCGATTAATAACTTTTTAATTATGTATTAAAATTGAAAATAATACATGATGTTACAGTTTTCTATCTCTTTTATGTTTAAATAGAATTTGTTTACTATTTTTTCAAACCAAAATTGGGACAAAGGATTATCACATTTTCATTTAAGCCACAAATTACTACAATTAATTAGTAATAAAGTATTATTGTAAATATTAAAAAAATTCTTTTTTATTTTCAGTATAGTCTTCGTTCAGGGAAGGATGATTTTTCTCTAAGTTTCTTCCGGCATCGTCATTCTACAAAATTTCGAGTAAGTAACAAAATTTTTCATATAATTAAATCGAATTATAGAAAAGTAATTTAATATATTTTTTGAAATTGAGTGTTTTTCAACTAAATTTTCTACACAAAATTCGAAAATTTAATTTAATATATTTTTTTGGTTCAGGTATAAATCATTTTTCTCCAAGTTTCTTCCGGCAACCCATCATCATTCTACCAAAATTTCGAGTAAGTAGCAAAATTTTTTCATATAATTAAATCGAATTGTAGAAAAGTAATTTGAAATATTTCTTGAAATTCTGTGCTTTTAAATAAATTTTTGAAAATTTTCTGCATAAAATTCCAAAAAATATAATTTACTTTATATTTTGATAATTATAGATTAAAATCTTTTTTTTAAGTGTTTGTAACCTTTGATTTTTAAAATTTCACATCTAATTTAGTAAGAAGGGAATAATTTTTTCTGCATTTTTAAATAATTTTCGCAGTTTGGGAATTTTTTTTAACTTTAATTTACTTGACACTATGTATATTTATGTATTTTTCATACTAGTATTTGCACAATAATTTTCGCAATCAACACATCAAAATATATAAATGTACAAAGTATCAAAAAAAGTAAAAGGTATTTCTTAAAAAAAATTTTTAATTTTGAAAATTTAAAAAATTCTATAAATTAGTTTCTCCAAATTTTTGTAAAAAATGAATTTTTTTAAAAAAAGGTTAAAGGTAAAAATAAGATTTTAATTTTAAAATGAAAAAAAAATAATTATTTTGAAAATAATGCATAAAAATTAATTTTTTTAATAAAAAAAGACTCACATGATTAAACTTTACATTTCATTTTGCATTAATCTCATATGACATAAACTTTACTTGACGTATGAAAATGAATGAAAATTATTTCTAAATGCAATTAAAAAATGATAATTATTAGTAAAAAAATCTTCATCAGTGATTTTGTATAAATGAATTAATAAATTATTATTTTCTTATTCTAATATGCAATTTTACTTTGAGATTTGTCAAAACATTTTTATTTATTATTTGCTTATCCAATAAAGTGAGAATAGAATATGTTAATAAATTGTTTCTTATTCATAGAGTCGACAGTAAGTCAATAATTCAGATTGGAGTCAGACAATGTAAAGTAATTTACTCATAGATGAATCCAAGGATGAATCTTTTCCATGTTTCTTCTGGCAATGCATCGTCATTCTACCAAATTTCGAGTAAGTAGCACAATTTTTCATATAATTGAATCGAATTACAGCAAATATGACATTTTATACCCCATTTACAATCTAATTCCTTTCTTTGTTTATAATTTTATTATTACATATATGCATCATGTGAAACTGGAGTATGTTTTTTTACGACTAATTTAGAACTATGTATATGCAATTGTCAACTGGATACACAACTGCAGTTCCAGTGTATACAGAACGGAAACTCCGGTGTATGCACAACGGTAATTTCGGTGTATAAATAATGCTTTTATAAACAAAATGTCTCAGAATGTGAGAAAATAAATTTATTGTTACATATATGCATCATGAGAAACTGGAGTGTTTTATTACGTTTAACCCTTTTAACGCCCAGCGGTATCGATCGAAATTACTTTTGACTTTAAACCTTTATAACTTTCACAAAAATTGGAATATTTTCGGTTTCCAAATACCCAACACCTACAAATTTATCCTATTTTGTGAAAAAAATTTATATTGCAATAAAAAATTAACATTTTTTTAATTATTACACCAATAAAAAAAGAAATTTTGTGGCAAGATTTACAAAAAAACCAGAATATCAAAAATTGAATAAAGTTAAGCTAATGAAAATGACTACTCGGTGGTTTTTGGGGTCGCTGATTACGAATCTGCAGTTAGTTTTTCAACATTCAAAATGGCGGTTCCAATATGGCGGACAAATTTTTTCAAATTGGTCGGATTCATTTGAAACTTGTTACTCGGGGGTTTTTGGGGTCGCTGATTACGAATCTGCAGTTAGTTTTTCAACATTCAAAATGGCGGTTCCAATATGGCGGACAAATTTTTAAAACTTGTTGGATTTTTATAAAAATATGTTTCTGGGGGTCTGTAATTTGCCTACTTATTTGTAGTTACCGAGATCAACCACGAGGAGGTTACAGAACTTTGACCTCATTTTTTTTTGGTATTTTTTATATTTTTGTATTTTTTGTTGGTTTTCTGAGTTTTTTTTGTGTTTTTAAATTTTTTTTGTTTTTTTGGGTTTTAAAATTTTTTTTTGTTCACTTACTTTTGTTTATTATTCTGAATGAAACGTGGAAAAGCAAGGATTAAGGGAAACTTTTGTTTACTATTTGGAATGAAATAAGGCAAAGCAAGGACTAAGGCAGAGCGGAACATTGCATTTAGTACAAGTTACTTTAGACCTAGCAACTTTGCCTTTCATGCTGCAAAATTTGCATCGTCGGCTGCTAGAATCCTTTTTTGGCAAATGCTTATTTTCAGTTGTCCTAACCTCTTCTGAAACCTTTAATCTTTTGTTATACCATTTTTTCGACCTTTTACCTACAGCGTAACGTTCTTTTAGCTGATCAAAGCGATCTACACCTCCCATATATTTGTTATAATCTGCAATCACTTCTGGACATGAAATGTTACTTCTAGAGCCGTCTCTATTTTTCCTTTTTACTTCAGTGACAAATGCAGGATCATGTGCTGTGCTCAAAACTGTAACAGGCTTAGAGTCCATCCACTTTATGGCTGCAACACATCCCTGCGTTCGATTTTCAAATTCCCCTCTAACCATCTTTTTCTTTTCTTTCATGATGTCCGGTAAGCCTACTCGATTTGTCCTAACAGTACCAACAGCAAAAATTTTCTTGGCTTTCAACTCTTTTATTAATTTAACAGACGTAAAAAAATTGTCGAAAGCAACTAAGGCCCCAGAGTTTCGCAATTGCTCGGTCAAATGAAGGACAACACGTTCTCCCAATGTGTCACATGAAAAATCAGTTGAACTTGACTTACCCGTGTAGATATCAATTCTTAAGACGTAACCAGTCTTCGAATAACATAGACACCAAACTTTATAGCCTCGTTTTATAGGCTTCATTGGCATGTATTGCTTCAGGGATGAACGCCCTTTGAATGGTATCATAGATTCGCCGACTGACAAAGTATTGGAATGTTGATAACATTTTTTTATGTTTTTATTAATCTCATTAATGAGAGGTCTAACATTATGCAACTTGTCGAAGTCTGGATGTCCGGTACCGCGGTATTATTGGAATTCAGGTAAATGTTTGACGTAATTTCCAAAAAGCGATTGCGAGTCATAACCTCTGCTACTGCTGCTACTCTTAGAAATGGATCCGTGCTCCAATAATCCCTCACAGACGGTAGGCGATGAATGCCCATGACGATATACAGTCCAATCCATGCTTTCAATTCATCAGCACTTATATCTTTCCACCTTATGTCCTCACTTGATGATGCCTTGGCCTTAGCATACATATTAATCTCGAGAACTATCGAGTCCATCATGTTTTTAGTAAATAAATTTAAAAAATATTTATTTTCTGGAGAACCCGGAGCAAACTGCAAATGGACTTCTACGTCCCTTTCGAAATTGTCATTTTCTTTTATAAAAGAGGTTTCATTTTGGGACCACTGGTCGCTCACAATATCAATAATTTCATCATCGTCGGAATCAACAGAACTACTTGAATCAGAATGTGATTCACTAACATCTATATTTTCAACATCGTCCTCATCTGATGTTTCACCATCACCATCATGTTCAGAATCTTCCAGATTATCAGGGAGTGAAAAAAAATTTTCAGAATCTTTTTTCGACCAAAGTGAATAGCAAAACCCTTTTTGATTCATAATTATGTTGAAAATTATGACATACAAGAGGGGAAAAAAATGTTTTACAACGAAACTAGTGACAATAATGATTGTCAATATTCCTGATAATCGAAAAAACAAATTTCTAAAGCAAAAACGAGAAAATCGGAAAAACAAACGCTTAACGCATAAACGAGATCAAAGTGAAATCTTTATCGAAAAAGTCGAAAAAACAAATGCCTAACGCACAAGCAAACTGAATGTGAATTCTCTGATGAAAATCAGAAAAACAAATGCCTAACGCATAAACGAGATCAAGGTGAAATGTTTGTCGAAAATCAAAAAAGTCGAAAAAAACAAATGCCTAACGCATAAGTGAACTGATAGTGAATTCTGTGATGAAAATCAGAAAAACAAATGCCTAAAGCATAAGCGAACTAAAAGTGAATTCTCTGATGAAAATCAGAAAAACAAACGCCTAACGCATAAACGAGATCAAGGTGAATTGTTTATCGCAAATCGAGAAAATCGGGAAAACAAATGCCTAACGCATAAACGAGATCAAGGTGAAATGTTTGTCTCAAATCGAGAAAATCGGAACTAAAAATTTCTAACGGATATATATAGCAAATAAAGTACAATAATTTGTTCTGCATTTTGTACATGACCTTCTGAACTTTGAAAATCTGATTTCAGATTCATAATCAGCGACCCCGAAAACCCCCAAATATCAAGTTTCAAAAGATTCAGACCAATTTGAAAAATTTGTCCGTCATATTGGATCCGCCATTTTGAATTTTGAAAAACTAACTGCAGATTCGTAATCAGCGACCCCAAAAACCCCCGAGTAACAAGTTTCAAATGAATCCGACCAATTTGAAAAAATTTGTCCGCCATATTGGATCCGCCATTTTGAATTTTGAAAAACTAACTGCAGATTCGTAATCAGCGACTCCAAAAACCCCCGAGTAACAAGTTTCAAACGAATCCGACTGTTCCAAAAAAGTCGGGCGTTAAAGGGTTAAGTTAGAACTATACAACTGGATACACAACTGCAGTTTCGATGTATACACAATGGCAGTCCTGGTGTATACACAATAATATTTCCAATGTAATTTTCTTTATACATAAAGAAAATAAGAAAATTTAAAAACATAAAAGAATATTTTTATTAGTGAACCTGTGTATACTATAAGTAAAGAAATATAAGTGTATAAACCTATCGTGAAAACGACATACCAGTTGAACTATGAATTTTTGTATTTATTTTACAAAATCATTCTTCCACATGGAACCTTAATTTGTTTCAAAAACATAAGTCACTTTATTATAAAGTAAGTAAGTCGATGCAAGTTTAAAAAATTTTAAGATGGGATTTACTTATTAATTTCAGATCGTAAAAAGGTTCGTAAATAGATCAACCGAAGCATTGACATTATTTTTTAAGATGGTTCTTAGACGATACATAAAGATTTTTAAATAAAATTTTTTTAAAAATTGAGAAAAAAAACAATATTTTTGCAAAGTTTTGATTTTATAACGTTAATAACTTTGGGTAAATTAGCTTTTAAATATTCACCAATAGAAGAGATCAGGGACACATGATACAAATGGAATATTTCCGATACGGTTGATTATAAAGATGTGAGTTAAAAGGAAAATTAATATATATGCGAACCTCTTGAGATATCCCTAGAATCCCTAAGCGAATTTTAAAGGCTAAAAAATGTATAAATATTAGAAAATGCAGTCCTAGGTGATTTTTGAGTATATTTTTAATTCCAAATTTCGGACTCAAAACAATTTATGTTGAATTAATTTTCATTAAAAAGAGGATTTAATTTAAAATTATATTTTTGTTCATATAGATTATTTTAAAATAGAATTATTTTTCAACGAAATGTTTGCAACAAGACTGACAAAAATTAGCAGCCTCAAATTTTGTTAATTATAGCTGAAAAATTACCACATGCAAACATTTATCACTTATTTATTAAAAAAAATTAATTGAGTGAACTTTTTACTACTACCAATGTATAATACTGAATGGATAAATTCTTTTTATGGTGCGAAAAATGGTGTAAACAATCATAATATACAGGAATTTTTTGTCAACAAATTTAACCTTTATGGGACTGAGGAAAAAAACACCTTCTATGGACGGACGAGGTACCCGGGTACCTATGTTCAATTTCTTGAAGATTTTGTATCACAATGAGCAGTTCAATTAACTTTAAGTGTAGTGGTCGTTTAAATGAAAGTAAAAATCATATAATATGAATATTTATACATAAATATTGCTAATAAAAAAATATTATTATTAGTTGATTATTAAAAACTGTTCATTACGTATAAGTATTTTGTATATATTCACAATATCATTGATCTTCCATTCAATAGTATCCGTGTTTATACTATTTGCAATAATACAACATAGGAAAAGTACGTGTTAACAAAAATTAACAATTTAACATTTTCGCTCTTTTCTTGAAAACTTATTGTACGCTTCCACGAAAATTCGTGTTTGTGCAAGAATAAACAAGACCACGCGCAGCACATTCACACCGTCAGTGTAGTGACAATTTCTCTGGATATACTAAGTAGTTAATTGACGTGAGTATTGTTAAATATTGTTTGTTACAATTGTTAATTTACTATTTTTGTAAATTGAAAATAATAATTGTTTTGTTCATAGTATTTAGCTATGAATAACGACGACACTGGTTCAAGACGGCGATCTGCTAGATTGCAAAACAGGTACATATTTATGCAGATTATTTATGAAATCAAATATAAAAATGTAAGAAATTTATTTTTTATTATTTAAAAATTGTTTAATAAAATTTATCATAATCTTTTAATAAAAATTTCTACGTTTATCTGCATAAAAGGTATGGAGGTACCCGGGTACCTTGTCCGCCTTTTAAGGGTGAAGAAACTTTGTTTATTATTTTCGAATAAATAAATGAAAAAGGTACATTATAAATAATATAAAAACACTTTGTATAGATAAATTTGAGATGTCAAAAAACCTTAGGTCGATACGATTTTAAAAATTATAAAAAAAATCAATTTGAAAATGCAAAAGGTACCCGGGTACCTCGTCAGTCCCATAAAGGTTAAGAATTTTGAACTTCGATTCTAACAATTACAAATGATTTAATTAATTGGTGTTACGAACCATTTGGGTACCGTAATATTTTTTATTTTTAAGCCCATATTTTGAAAATTCGGATCCCCATTAATTTTTGCGTGAAGACCTGCGTACACGTATTTGTACTCCTTTCTGTAAATATATATATATCACGCAATTATTAACCCCATTCATGTTATAAAATGTGCTGTTTTAAGAAAGTGTTGAAACAAGTTTTTCGACTATTGCCAATTTGTGATTTCGACATAAGGATGAGAAAAGTTATTTGCGTCAACATTTCCTTTTTGTTGAATGGCCTTTTATTTTAAAAAGCATTTCGCAAGTTCTTTCAAAAATACAGGTTCAGCATTATTAATTAGTCCAAATTATTATTAATTAATTCCTGATAAAATCATTACAATTTTATTCCAGAAATAGTATTAAATTTTTATGAGTATTAAATTATAACGGTAAGAATCTAGCATACGGTTCGACAAATGCAGTTGCATTGTGTTCACGTTGGTTTTACTACATTCTTAGAATATTATCCCTTTCCTATTATTCCCTATTGATTCGAATCATTCATTACAATAGAATCATTTCAAAAATGATGAATTAAAAGAGAATTAAAAGAATGCTCATAAATTAGCTTGATAATAAAAGCTTCAAGACTCTTATTGCGTCAATGACCAAATATGAGTTTGTTGAAGGAAATAAGAAACGTCAACGTTTCTGTAAAAATATTACTTATAAAAGTCAAGTTGCCAATCCAACCTAGTAACTAAAATGATGAGCTAAGCTCTGTTGCACTGTAACAGAGTTCAATAGCATTAAAGAAATTCTGGGATTCATCAGAAATGATTAAGAAATTATAATTCATTTCTTCATTTTTCGATTCCATCTCTTCCAAATTTACCACACCCCGAACTCAATTGTTTGTATTAAAACTTGTGTGAACTGATGACATTTTGCTTCTTCGCGGTAGTTCTTCGTGCTAATCGGTTCATCGCGGAGTCGACCGTCTGTGAGATTCGGCCGATTCAAAAAGGTTCGCCACGGGCAACTAGATTCGGGCAGACGTTAAATATAAAAGAGATAATTACCTTAATTATCTCTGAAACCGATTTAAGAAATTCCTTTTACTTAATTCAAATTCAAATTGTAATTATTTTACC